TTTCTTTCTTTCTTTCTTTCTTTCTTTCTTTCTTTCTTTCTTTCTTTCTTTCTTTCTTTCTTTCTTTCTTTCTTTCTTTCTCAAACATCTTAACTGCCCATCTCCATCATACACAGTTGCTTATTTGTCTGTGTTGATAATTCCTTGATTGAAGTATTGTTCACCAGTATAGGCAAGCGTGTGTGAGAATCTGCATGCATTTTCTTCAGGCTTTTTTAAAATGAAAGTGATAGTTTGAGCTAAGCAGAAGCAAAATAAAATGAACCTATGCTTGGGGAGAAAAGTATGAACATTTTAAAGACAGATCTCTCTGTTCCTGTGACAGGACAGAGTGGTGCAAAACTATGGATTTCCTAAGCTGAAGAGAAAGTTATTTTTATCCATGAGTGAAAATGGCTAGAAGTGTTCCTTTCTGTCTCCCTTGGTTGAATGGCTGAAGGGTTTTGGGAAAAGAGAGAGATAATTCTATATGCATCATATTGAGTTTGTTTGTGTGTATCCTGCCTTTATTATTTTTACAAACAACTCATGGTGGCAAACATATCCAACACACCTTCCTCCATTTTCCCCTCAACAATAACCCTGTGTGGTGCCTTGGGTTGAGAGAAAAGAACTGACCCAAACTTGCTCACTTGGCTTTTTACTAAGTGCAATTAAAACTCCTATTTCCTGTTGATCGGCCCAAAGTCACCCAGCCGGCATTCATGCCTAAGGCGGGACTAGAATTCACCGTCTCCTGGTGATCGGCCCAAAGTCCAGCCGGCTTTCATGCCTAAAGCGGGACTAGAACTCACCATCTCCTGGTGATCGGCCCAAAGTCACCCGGCCGGCTTTCATGCCTAAGGCGGGACTAGAACTCATCGTCTCCTGGTGATCAGCCCAAAGTCACCCAGCTGCCTTTCATGCCTAAGGCAGGACTAGAATTCACCGTCTCCTGGTGATCGGCCCAAAGTCCAGCCGGCTTTCATTCCTAAAGCGGGACTAGAACTCATCGTCTCCTGGTGATTGGCCCAATGTCACCCAGCTGGCTTTCCTGCCTAAGGCGGGACTAGAACTCAACATCTCCTGGTGATTGGCCCAAA